TTAAGAGATTGGAAATTTTACATCTGTCTAACGAAGTAAATGCAATAAAATAAAAATGACCCTGGATGAAAGTTTATGAGAAAATTAACGATCGACACCTTGTAGATACTTTTTTTATAGAACCATTAAGAAAAACTTACTCTTCCTTCAATCTACTAATCATTCTCAGTTTTATTGCGAACAGTATCTGAAGACAGTGTTCGTCAAAATAATATAATGACACGTCACTTAGACTTAACTTGCACGATAAAATTACGATTAGATCCTTCGAACCGAATTGTTTTTCAATATTTCACATCTGTCAAAACTTTCTCAATGGATCTAATTAATTTCTAATTTTTAAAATTGAAAAATAGAAACTATAAAAAAACTTTGTGATTTGTAATTAAATTTTGAAAATTTTTATAATTAGGTGTATTGTACTTTTTTTGTTAGAAGTTGAAAAGAAATTTCATTAAAAATATTTGTAATCAAATCTCTCGAAAGATTGACAGTTACAAGGTTTCATTATTCCCCTGGGTTGTGGACTGACTTACGTCGAAAATTAAATTTCCCGAGTATAAAAAAAGGAAGCTTTTTATTCTCTCCATTATAAAGTCTGACGAACGATAATTAGCTGTCCTTGAAAAAGGTAGTAACATTTTTATTAGCCATACAAGAAAGGAATATCTTTAAGCGAGTATCGTTTTTATAAAAGAACAAGAGAAAAATTCCGATATTTAAATATATATTTTATAATATTAATTGGAAAAAAAATTTAATTGGTAAGCTTTGCATAGAAAATGTAAAAGTTATAAAAAAGTATAAATTTCCTCAGCAAACTTGGTATAATGTTGCAATAAATATATTTATATATACTCGAATAAAAATGAAATTCTTTAGAAGAATTTTTAAGATGATTATTCTCAATTGTACGAATTTCTGTAGATATCCCAAGCGGACAAAAAAATAACGTTGCAAAGTCACTGAGTTGTGCACAGGTTCCGATAAAACTTTCTCAAAAGAACATGTTCTATGCTTTGAAGTTAAAGTGCTTTAGACTTCCAGTTGGACTGTTAAGAGAAAAAAGAAAACTTTTCTCAAGATCCCCCAAATCGTTTCGATAGAAAAAAGTAAGATGTATGTGATAATCAATTTAGAGAAAATTTATGAAAAAAAAATTACTTTCAATGAATTTTTTCATTAAACAAATGAAAAATTTATTCTTTATTCTTGACTGCTTTTTTAATTAATTATATATGTTAAGGAGGTTCTATCGCTTGACTGAACTAGTCAAAACAGAAACCATTATTTTGTGATTTGACTTGCTCGGTACTTTGAAACGTCTGGCAACACCGCACTTCGCATGCCGTATTGCAAATGATTGCTATAACTCCTGTAATTTGTTTACATTCAGTTTTAAAATGGAAAAAGTGACTAAACCCAGTAAGAAACGAAAAATTGAAAAGGATTGAAATAATTCAAACTCTGTATGGTGTAGTAGAAATTATCCAATACTTTTGAATGCCATTTCTGTCCAATACTTTTCTATACCATGATAGGACCACGTTTCGTCTAAAAATGAATGCTATTCAATTCTGTTTGTAATTGTTAACAAAGACAAAATTTTTTTCTGAATGCTTTCCAATCCCATCCGAAATTATTACAGCCTGTCATTATATCACTTTTCAATTTTTCATTGGAACCGCGTTTCTGCATGCATTCAAGCAATCTTCTGGATTTTTGTAATTTATAAGATACATACAGTGGCAGATTTTGTAAAAAGTGTTTGTGTTCAAAGAAAAACTTGCTGAAAAATTGATTGTTTACCAATTTAACGTCATTTAAACGAGTCAGGGACGTTATTCTGTTAGACAATAAATCATAACCTAAAAATTTCAGAGACCTTTAAACACTTTTAACCCTCTTAACTGATAATTTAATAATTATTCATTTTTAAAATAGCAAATAATTCATGAGTTCAGTTATTTGAAAGTAATTGAACATTCTATATGTCAACAATATTAGTATTATATATTATTATACTACTGTCGCGGAATTCAGAAGCATAGGGCAGAAATGGTATTCAAAAGGATAGAATTTTTTTAATGCTTCTTAATCTTTGCTTTCTTACTGGGTATTCAAGAGGATTGATATCGTTACTATTTATATTGCTCTCACTGGATAGAAAAGTATTGGACAGAAATGGCATTCAAAAGAATAGAATCTTTTTAATACTTTTCAATTTTTCGTTTCTTACTGGGAAGAGATTAATGGGAAATTCTTTTTTAAGGGGAAAAGAGTTAGTGAAAGAAATTATAAAAAAAATTGAAGCAGCAAATGTTTGCTAAAAATATTAGGAAGAATTTTGCTGCAAAGACGGTTTCTAACCTACAAGATGTCACAAAATCTACTGAAATTGAAGGTCGACGAATAATTCATATAGAAACACTTGCAAATCAATTGTTTTGTCGAAAATGTGAATCAGTTCTTTCCCTCACGAAAATTACAAAGGAAATACGAGTTGGCTTGGCTTCGAAATTTTATATCGAGTGCCTTTCGTGTAAAGTTGTCAATGAAGTTTGTTCTGACAAACAACACGATGTTAATAATCAAAACAAGCATTTCGATACAAACACAAAAGCAGTGATGGGTAAGTACATGCATTATCATATTCAATGAATATTAATAGCATATTTAAGATTCAATTACAAATTTTTAGGTTAGAATCAGAGTGTAACAGAGTAATACACTGTAAAAAATGATTTTTTGAGAATTTACTAATGAATTGTAAGGTTACAAGGATTTCTGTGAATTGACGATGTTGGACGTAGTTTGAAAGCCAACAATTTGGAATAAAGCGACGTCTAACGTTGTAATTTTACAAAAAACGTAATACTACAAAAAATTTGTAAGATTACAACGTCTGACGTGACTCGAAATATGTCCTACGTCCAACGTTGTAACTTTACAAATTTTTGGAAAATTACAACGTTAGACGTCGCTTTATTACAAATTGTTTTGCTTTCAAACTACGTCCAACATTGTCAATTCACAGAAATCCTTGTAACCTTACAATTCATTAGTAAATTCTCAAAAATTCATTTTTTACAGTGTTTATTGTAGTTAGTCTATTCTTAGCAGATGGATTTTTTAGTTTATAAATAGAACCTAAATTGAAACAAATATTGGATGAAACTGATATTGTTTGACAATAATGTGTTTAATAGAAATATAATCAAAATTTCTAATAATTTTAATTTATTGTAGTCAGCCTATTCTTAGCAACTGGATTTTTATATCTTTAAGAAATGAGTATGTTGTTAATAACTTATGTTCTTATATAGGTACGTAAAATGGCGGCATGGGTAATACCCATTTGAACCGGGTTCTGACTGCATTGAACATTCCACTTTTTAACTGGGGCACTTTTAAAACTCACGAAAAAGAAGTTGGAAAATTCTTGGAAGAAATGGCTCAAGAAAGCTTTAAAGCATCAGCACTTGAAGAACGGAGGTTAACAATTGAAAATGTTGAAGAAGTAACAAAGTTGTTGTGAGTAAATGGAAAATGAATGATTTCCATCATCAGATTTTGTATGAAAATAATTTTTTTTTTTTTTTTTTTTTATTAAAGCATTTAACGAAACCTACATAAAAGGTTTATGAGCTTACAAATATTCAAATACTCAATTTACATTCTTTAAAAAACTGTACAATATGACTACACGCAGCAATATTAGGCTTGACCAGAAACATTTCCACACACAATGGTAAATACATTTTTATTTTAAATAAGTTTTTAAGTAATTTAGATCTTTGGGGTACATAAAGAGGACATTGCCATAATACATGATTCAAGTCTTCACAAACATAACCACACCTACACATCGGACTATTTACAATTCCAATACGCGCCAGTGAGGCCGCCAAACTATAATGATCAGCTCTACAACGATTTATCGTGACAATAAATTTTCTAGGCAAGGATCTACAATGAAACCAATTTTTTCTAGTGTTAGAATAATATTTTTGAAAGTAATTTTTCCCCTTATTTAAACCCAGTTCTCGCAAGTAATCCCCGGTCTGTGTATAACACTTTTTCTTAAAAGATTCATATAGATCAGTAAATGGGATCTTCCTATTGTCGATGCATTCCTCAACAGTCGCAGACTTGGCTTGCAAGTCAGCCTCCTCATTTCCCCAGACTCCGATGTGCGAAGGAACCCAATAAAATTTAACTGTGCTTTTGTTTATGTTAGCTGTATGAAAATCAATAAACTTTCTTCTTATTTCAAAAATATATCTATTAGTTTTAACATTGATAGAGCATGATTTTAAGCTTTGTAATGCACTTAATGAGTCCGAGAAAATAAGGAAGTTACAATTTCGATTTTCAAGAGCAACATCCATTGCATCATTTAACGCAATACACTCAGCTGAATATACCGAAGCATCCAGGGGGATACTTCTTTTAATACTTATACCCAATTCCGGACACACACACGCAGAACCAACACTTTTGTTTGAAAAAACCTTACTTCCATCCGTATAAATAGAAAATGCGTCACTATTATTTACAATGTCATTAATTCTATTATTTGGATCGGAAATATTGTTAAGTTCATATCCAAGTTCAGTATTTACAGGTATTATCGTTTTCAATACATCATAATTTGCACAATATAAATTATAATTACAGCGTGTGTCTATTGACTTTAAAGTGTCGATTAAATTTATAATATTTCGACATATTAATATTTTTCTATTACACACTTTCTTTCTACACAGACTGTAATAGTTGTGGACAGATTTGTAAACACTAGCACTACTGTTGGACATTATTTTCGCCATGTAACAATCACACAAATACTCAGCACGATCTTTTAATAAGGAAAGCTTTGACTCCGCCAAAAGTACATTAACAGGTGTACTTCTGCGATAGCCCAACGCTATTCTTACAGCAGCATTTTGCATAGCTTCGAGTTTTTGTCTACCTTTTTTAGTCTTAGGAAAGTATATACTAGAACCAAAATCAATGATAGAACGAACATAACTTTTATATAATGCTAAAAGTGTTTCTGGACTCGATCCCCACCAAGTACCGCACAGATATTTAAGAATGTTAAGTGCTCTAGTACATCTTTTAACAACTTACTAAGGGCAACAGTATTTTGGCAGACGCTAACCTTCAAGTCGGTATTGTAATTGCGGATAATGACAGCAGTTCAATTTGTGCTATTCGAAATGCCAGTGAACACGAAGTTGTAAAACAAGCGGATAAAAATCACACAAGTAAAGGAGTAGTAAATGAATTATATAAAATTCAGAAAAAACACAAAGAACTCACGGCTGTTACTATTAAATATCTTCAAAGATGTTTTAGTTATTGTGTGTCACAAAATAAAGGGAATAGTCGAAATATGGCAGAGGCTATTAAAAACATCCCACACCATTGCTTTAACGACCACGTTAATTGCGGCACTTGGTGTGATTTTTCTAAAAATCCTGACACTTATAAGCATTCGAACATAGGCGACGGTTTCAAAGAAACTGCATTATTTGAGTCTTTGCAAACTTTTTTTGCAAAGTTAGCTGAAAATACAGATAATTTTTTTTTAGGAGTCTCAAGTAATGCAAACGAAAGTTTGAATACCATGATAGTCAAGTAAGGCACCAAAATCACGAATGTACGGAATGTCTTCGTCTGCTGATATCCGAGTTGCAGCAGCAATTAATCAAAAAAATTATGGTGAAAAATACGTACCCGATTTAGCGCGAAAATTGAACTGATCTCCCTGAACCCATACTATACGGAACACTAATAAAGCTCATGAGAACAACAAAAAAAGATATTTAAAATCATTGCAACCTTCTTTCAAAAGTCGCCGTCTATTTTTAAAAAAGAACAAGACTGAACTTCGAAATAAGAAAGAAGGTAGAGAAGGAACGACATATGCAACTGACTGTGGACTTTTTGAAAGGCTACCTGTTTCACTTCCTATTGCGGTTATTGATGAGAAATTACAACCAATTGTGGTTTTATTTGATTTGGAGACAGGAGGTTTCTCTAAAACGGATGATATTTTGCAGATAGCTGTAAAATGTGAACAATTAGAATTTTCGGTCTATATCAAACCAACACAACGCATGAAAGAAGAAGCAAGTGCTGTAAATGGTCTACGTTGTATTGACGGAAATTTGTATCTTAATAATCAAATTGTTTTGTCGATTTCCTTGAAGGATGCAATGGAAGCACTCTATCAGTTTATGTTTAATTTTCACAGAAAATGTGTATTAACTGCACACAATTGTAAATTTGATTATCCGAGGTTAATGAGAGCAATAAAAAATGTTGGTATGAGTGAGCATTTCCGTTCAGTTGTCGACGGTTTTTCAGATACGCTTCCTATTATAAGGAAAAGGACTGGTAAGAAGGGAAAAGGGAAAAATAAGTTAGAAGTGCTTGCTGAGGATTTACAACTCAAAACTGAAGGAGCGCATAATGCTCTCATTGATGTCATTCTATTACAGCAAGTTTTGGAAAAACTCCAAATTTCAAATGAAAAAATTCTTGAGTTTACTCTGCCCTGGAATGAAGTTGAAAAAAGAGATTCCCTTGCATCTAAATTATCCAGCGCTATGAAAGAATTGGGTCCTTTGAATCAGTGTGTATCATACGCCATAAGAAAGAAGATGGTCACAGCCGATGTCTCGTATGACATGCTTCAAACAGCATTCCGACAAAATGGATTTAATGGCCTTTCCGATATTTTGAGAAAGGATGAAAATGACAATGTTCGAGTCACGAAATGCCATTCTGTTATAAAAAAAATTTATGATTTTTTAAAGTCAAGATAAAGTAGAGTATACTGGAAATACAACAATTTGTATTCTTTTTATTCCATCTTAATTATAAGAAAGTAATTTTATTATCAGTATTTTAAAATTTATCATTTTATTTCGTTCTATATACCAAAAGTATAAAGTGTTAAGAAATATCGTATTATGATGTTATAGTATGATTATGTTAACAAAAATATTGAAAATTCACTCTATTGATTGTTAAAGTAAAGTATTTACTTTATATGTGTATTTACTTTATAGTTTATCATAAAAATTTTAAATATCTTTAGAAATAATTAAATTCTTCTCCGAAATTAAATTATTTTCAAAAATTTTCTACAATTCAATAATTTTCAATATCTACTATTTTCATAAAATTTTCCAAAAGAATTCAATTATTTTAAAAAAATGTAATAAATTTCTACACAAACTTCCAATTCTTTTCAAAAAATAATAAAAATTTCATAGGAATTTAATTATTTACAAACTTTTTTTTATAAATTTCTTCGCAAGTATTCAATTATTTTCATAAATAATAAAATTTTTACAGAGATTCAATTATTTTCGTAAATAATAAAATACTTTTTAGAAATTTAATTATTTTTATAAATAATAAAACTCATTGCAGAATTTCATTTATTTTTAATACAATTTTAATCAAATTTCTCGAAAAATTTATATTAAAATTCGTCAAAAGAATTCAGTTATTTAAGAGTTTATAGATAAAGTTCTTTATGAGAATTCAATTTTAAGAAAATGCAATTATTCAATAAATTGTTATTTTGGTATTTAAATAATTGAATTCTAGTAGAATTTTCTCATAAACATTGACTTAAAAATGGATTTCAGTAAAAATTTTAGATTATAATTGTATTTTAAAAGCATTAGAGCCTAAATTTTTAGGAATAATTAAATTTTAAAATGGTTTAAAATTAAAATTTTTTTTTGAGAAACTTTAATTGCGATATTTTTAAAAATTTATTTAAAGTTTTTATTTTCTAATATATATTTAATTGAAGAAATCACGAAAAATTTTGTAAAATTAAATTGTAAAAAAACGAATTTGAAAATTCTTACAGAATTTTGTCAAAAATTATTAAAAATAATGGATTTATAGAAAAATTTTAGTTAAAAATTCTTGTAAATGATTTTATCACTCGGTCATCTTTAATTAAAACATGGTTTTATAGTTGTGGAAAATTTAATTTATAGTTTTAAGTAAAATGTTCTCTTATTTGACTCGAACTGGTTATATTTTTGTTCGTAAATAATCCGTAATTTTTCATTTTTTGTCTGTTAAGTTCTTTTTAAATATTTTTACTGGTTCGAGCTCTGATAATAAGAATTTTACCATTATAAATAAAATTTTATATTTATGTTTAATAAAACAATTATTCCTCTATTTCATTAACTTCATTTTAATTTTTAAAAAGTATATAATTAAATAATTTTACTTATTAACTTTATTTTCTTTTTAAATACGACGTAACTATCGTATCAGGTGCTATCAAAATCAACTTTTAAAAATATAGCGCGCAAAATTAACGTATAACGCGCATGATCAAAGAACGAAAGTCGGATATGACGTGTGCGATGTTGTCAGACGTTCTAACATCTGTTCAATATACTATATGTATTTTTAAATTCCCAGAAATTCTCTTTTTTAATTTAATATTAATTAATCAATACTCGAAATTATTCTATGACATTCTGAAACCTTCCTGACGATTTCGAATTCCAATCGAACAAGTTTGGTGCGATTAGAGAATTCTTGAACTTCCAATGAAACCTTCAAGGATTATTCAATTATAGAGAAATCGACAAATTCGCCGAATATCTTCACAAAGTTTCTAATAGTTTCAAATATATGATTACATATTTCAAAAACTATCGAAATACACGAAAAATTAGAAGTAATTAAGATCAAAATTATCATTTTCTTTTCTATATTTTGAATATTTTCTGTAAATTAATTTCATAATTGACATTAGATGTCAAATTTGAAGAAAACAATAATTTTAATTAATTAATTAACCGATTAATTAATTAATAGTTAAGAATAAATTCATTTTATTCTGAATACGCGGTATTAATAAATTAAAAATATAAATAATAATTAACATAACCTAAAAAAGCAGGTAATTATTATAAATACTTTTAACTGCATATTAGAACAAAACAAATTTAGAATATTGTTTTTTAAGTAAGGGCAAATATTTAGAAATGGTTAATCAAAAAAAAATACTGTCATATAATTATTTAATTTACAATTTAGAAATTTTAATTTCATAAGAAAGTTGTTCAAAAAAACGCAAAACTTTTATGAATAGGTTATATAGGAGAATGTTGCTTATTTCGAATCCTCCATAAATAGAAATAGCGAAATTAATACTGTAACATTAACACTTAATAATAAATTGTCGAAAAAAAGAAAATTTCACAGTGACAAAATGAAAAAAATAATTAAAAACCAATCATTTGAGAATAATTGGCTTTTAGTAGAAGAATTAAATATGTACCTGCACAGTACTGTTTTTTATTGATGCAACAATCAATTCTTGACTCTCCAGAAAAGTTTCCCCTGAACTAATTATTTTTTGTCTACATAATTATCTTATTTAAATTAACTAATCAAGTAATTAATAGAAGTATTTTTTAGTACATTTAATTAATAATAAATGATTATAAAGAAAAAGTATTCATTACTAACGAATATTATTATTTCTTATTAATTATCAATTATGTAATAAAAAGAAAAGAAATGGAAAAAGAATTTAATTGTAACATTCTATTAAAAATTCTGAAATGAAATTGTAGTTTCTAAAAATGTCAAAATAATTGTGTAAATTTTATACATTTCTTGTGGTATTAAACAAAAACAAATTTTTATATATAATTAAAAATATTTATGCGTGTATCAAGAAAAATAAAACCTGATTCTAAAAAACAAATAAACGAAATAAATGTAAATTTTACACAATTTAGTTATTCACTTTTTAACTTAAATAATATTTATATAATAAATATTATTTGATTAACATATTATTTCCATTATTGTCATGGTGCAACTTTCTAAATATATATTTCAACTTGACTTCGTCACAATATTGAAGACAAAAGGGACTCACCAATCGTGGATTATCTCCGTCGACGCGATATGATGAGTTGCTCCATTTCCTCCTGAGCCATTCTGTGCCAAAGTAATCAAAATCAGTTTGAAATTAAATATTCCTCAACGGTAATCGAACAAATTATTGACAAAAACGTAATCAGAAATGGCAGTTGTTTCTTCGTAAACAAATTAATCGTTTCCTGCAAAAAAAGAAAAAAAATGAATTATTACTTTATTAAAAATAGAAATAATAAGTAAATGGAATCAAAGAAAAAGTAAGAATACAATTGATGTTAACAGTTTACAATCAGTTTTAAATACATACACATAACCTATATTTCTTTCTATATTGTACGTATTGTACGAATAATTTACACCTAACCTGTATTTCAATAGAAATAATACTATCCATTCACATATTACGTCATAGAAGTTTTAATTTTCTCACTATTTTTAACCTTTCGTCACATTATTTTGCATAACAAATTAAAACTAATCACTTTTTAACAGCTGATCGGTGATCGTTAAAGGCCAACGCAGAATAGATCTGTAACCGGAACCGCAATCGTAACCGTAAGCGTAAGAATGAGTTAGAGAAGGATAAACAATATACCTATCCTTCTTTAACTCATTCTTACGCTTACGGTTACGATTGCGGTTCCGGTTACAGATCTATTCTGCGTTGGCCTTAAGGAAAACTAAAAATCTTAACTTTTCTCTCTACTAGCGCCACCTAACTTAACAATCTGTAAATATATTTTGGTGGCAATACTTATTGCCAACTGTCGATAAAATGACCACCATCGACCACGTCGCTATTTTGAATAAAATTCAGTCGAGATAGAAATATAATTCTCCAATGCGAAAGGAATATATGGCGTAAATGTGACTGTATAACGATTGTTTCACACCATAGTAAATTATTAAAAAAAACACAATGTTACATTTAAAAATGAGAAAATTGTTTCGTTTCAATAAATAAATAAGATCGATAAAGCAGAAAATAACCTAGAAATTAATACGTCTTACATTTTACAAGCTTCATTTTCATTATAGAAAAACAATGGCAATAACAATATTTTTTTCTTTGTTTCATTAAAATACCTACTTTGTGAATAATTAAACATTGAAAAAATATTACTAATATTTTTCCAGTGAACAATGTCAATTTTCATAGAACTCCTTTGTTTCATTAAAATACTTTGTGAAAAATTGTTGGAATAATTAAACATTGTAAATATATTACCAATATTAAACAAAACAAGCTTACCAATTGAACATCTTCGCCTTCTTGCTTTCCTTGAGATGAAATAATTTTTTTCGAAACTATTCACATATTTCAGAATAAACTATCATTAAACGCCAAAAGAATCGGATATTATCCTTGATAAGCGCACCTAGCATCAATATCCACTGTGCAATTATTCATCTTCATTCGATAAGCAAGGAAAACTGCTTAAAAAAATTTTTCAAAGTGACGCAGTCCTGTTCATAGAGAAGTCCAGGGGAAAGTAACGAGAGTCGCTCGAAACGGCCGTATTTACGTAGCAGCGAGGTACTTGCTGCGCGTTGATTGGTGCGCACTCTCGAGCTGACGTTCAACGAATCAGCGCGCGGAACACTTGCCCCTACTCTTCTTCAACTGAGACTCCCTTCCCTTGTGCTGGCACAGAAGCGCCGTCCAATCAGAAGTCAGCATTACTTGTCCCATGTCCCGGAGTCACGTAAATACGCGCGTTTTCCGGTGGCGCTCTCAGTAAGTTCTGAAAAGTCTCAAAGGAGGAGTGCGCGCCGATGAGAAAATTATTTTCTCTTCTAAACTTCGTCTTATGCATAAAGCAGCATGGTCTTCCACTCTGAATACACAAGATGAATAATTCTACATCAATTGATAACTTTACTG